TTTTTTTAGCTCATCTAGGAAAAAAAAAAAAGACCTGGGATTTTATCTGATCCTATCATTTTCTCTGCCTTACATCTTGGTTTCTCTTTGTCTTTTTCTATTGCCCGACATTTTTGCGCGATCCTATCCCTTTCTTTTTAGCCAAAAAGAAAAAAAAAGGGTTCCTGCTGTGCACACCTACCTCTCCTCCACGTTGCGATCTGGGCACACGCATCTGGTATGGTTCCTTCCGGATTGTCAGACCTGCTTCTTCCATATCTTCCCACAACTTCGTTCGTGCATCAAAACGATCCAGACCCCTGCACCACAGGATGCAAGCAGATGATTGTAGCAGCCATTTGGTGGACTCGACATCGAATTCTACCAACAACAAATATATTCAACCACGATTTCAAACAACAACCAGACAGTAAGGCCGGGGGGGGAGGTGTTAGGGGGTTGGAGGGGGGAACAATAACCAACCAGACAGCTGAAGAAATCACGGTTTTGCTTCTAGAGGAGGATGGGGACAAAAATATGCAACAGGGAATCCGACGAATCAGACGGATCCTAATCTTGTCACCACAAGATCAGTGCAACAGAGTGCGAAACCAGACAAAATTCCCCTTGGAATCACTACGGAGTGGGAGAGGCAGGATTCAAACCTACGTAGAAATATAACCTTCAACAGATTTACAGTCTGTCGCTTTTAAGTTTTAACCACTCGCCGCACTCGGCCACTCTCCCGAAGAATTCAGCATCCGAAAGGATTTGAACCTGTGACCTTCAACTTCGACCAAACTGTAGAAGATTGGGAAAAATCAATGAGTGGAAAAGGCGCTCCCAGGCAACCGCCACGTTGGAATTCTATATAGTCACCCCAAATACTTGCCTAGGAGAATTCTAATAGGTCTCAACTTTGTTTCACTATTCTCTTTACCTTTTATTAACACTTCAAAGTTCATACGCACGAAGTTCAACTTTTAGACCCATTGATCAAAAACGTTTTTGGTTACTTGTGGCAGCTATAAAATTGCCATTCTAGTCCTTGTTCGGGTGAGGAGAAACAGCGAAACACGTTTGGATATTGAGCACAGAACCCAGGGGCAGTGACACCATGTTGGAAACAAAAATGGGTGGTTCCAAAACTTGAAACCGGAAAGCACAAGGTGTTCATTCATGGAACATGCCTCTATTTATGTCATTCTACACCTACCCAGCTGGCCCTCAGCTTCCACCATGGTATCTTCCCAGGTCACAGTGAGGAGGACCATTTTCCCCTGCACACAACCCACCCTCAATAAGACTGTATAGGACCGGACGTATAGCTTATATGCATTCACAAGTAGGATGTGTTATGTACGCGGGAAGACGGTAGCCGGCCTCTCTCTAAGTTGGTGTCCGAGTTCGGTGCCCAGCGCTTGATCTGCTACCTGAGCAAGGGAGGGCTGGAGTGTGGATGCAAGAGGTGTTAAGCTGCCACTTCATACAAGCAGTAAAGCACCAGCGACAGGAGCCCATCAGAGCCAAAGTGCACCAGTACCAGGATGAATGAAATGGAGTCCAGGCTGTCCAGCACACCCAACCCACAGCTCCCTGGCATTCTCATGCACCTTTAGGTAGGTGCTGTTGGCCACAGGGGCTTTAAACCACAAGTGCACGGCTTCATCCTTGCAGTTGGAAACTTGTCACCACAAGAAAACGAGGCCGAAATGTCAAACGCTGGGCCCGCCGTTGATAAATTCGATCAGCGGTCACGTTTTCGTTTCGCGCCTCCAGAATTTGAGGTGTCGGGCCTGCGGCCCAGGTGCCCATGTACTGGTGCGTTAAAGGACAAAGGCGAGGTCACCTGCAAGCAGGGTGACCTCTACAGCACAAGAAAACAAATACACAAATAATATGAGCTGATATATCTCCCCCAAATGCAGACAAATTCACACCAACCCAAGCGGGAGCACGGCGCCAAAAGAGGAGCCATTCCCCCACACAAACACAGAGAAACAGTGATAGAGGTAAATCCCAGGTAGAAGCGAAGGGTACAAATTACACCAAGCATGACAAACACGGAAGGAGCGTAGATAGAGAGTTCTAGCCTACCTCTACATCTTACCTAGGTTTTACACCCCCTAGGACCTTGAACCTTGGCCACAGGGAAAAATGAAAACAACTGCACTGTTCTATTACAGTCCTCGCCACATTGTGACCACCCTCTGCCTGGCCCTACCTATGAGTTACATTTCTGTTCATCCAGGTGGGTGGATTGGGTGTTACGAACCTGAAGGAGTTGCGGGTCGTCCCCCTCCAAACAGAGGGGAATATGTTTGTACTACTAGGAGTGAAAAGAGAACTTCACTGGGCACACACACACACACACACACACACACACACAGAGAGAGAGAGAGAGAGAGAGAGAGAGAGAGAGAGAGAGAGAGAGAGAGAGAGAGAGAGAGAGAGAGAGAGAGAGAGAGAGAGAGAGAGAGAGAGAGAGAGAGAGAGAAGAAGGCCAGCAGCAGCCAGATACAAGTACCGGTAGCCAAACGGAAAGACAAACAGCACAAAAAAAGGGCAGGTGAGGGGACAAATGCACAGGCAGGTGGGTGGGCGTACAGAGGAACTAAGAGGGGATGGGAGTAGCAGACAAATAAATAAATTAACCAAGAGATGGTAGGGGGTAACTTACGCATATTGCCCTGCGTTTTTGTTCATTCGCCCGTCTTTCTCCATGATATTTATAATTGGAAGATTTCTCTTCATCCCGATTGCGTAGTCATTTGGGTCATGGCCTGGTGTAATTTTCAGAACACCTGTGCCAAATGCAGCATCAACGTACTGCCACAAAATCATCATTATCATCATCATCGTCATCATCATCATCATTATCACCACCACCACCATCATCATCATCATCATCACCATCATCATTATCGTCATCATTTTTACCATGCCATCCATTGGAAGATTAGCTTCTTCTTTTTTTTTTCTTTTTTTTTTATATTGGAAGATTAACTTGCTTTAAAGAACTTCAAAGAGCCTGTTGGAGCTTCTGAAGTTCCATCTGCACCACCAAACAAACTGCTAATTAGCATTGCAGCATCAAGTCATTCCAGTCAACAAATCGAAATGTTTGTCACGATGTCAATATGGAAAATGTTACATGTTTGCAGCAGGACAGGTGCAATGAGGTTGTGCAGAGAGAAGAGAGAGACTGGACTCTCATTCACATGGGCTTGATATAGCAGGACCGCAGGATCCGCAGAAGAGGGAGCAGTACTGGGCCTGTCATACAGATTGCAATAGCACTGACTTGTAACTAAAGAATGAATTCTTCCTGATTCTGCTCAGTGGGCCCATTATGCCGTATATGGTGGAGTGCATGTAGGCTGTACAGATCATAATCACAAAACAGATGAGTGGGATGAGGGAGCTGGAGTGGGGGAAGAACGAAAAGCAGTGATGAGGCACAGTCTGAGGGGAAGGGGTTGGGAGGGTTCATTGAGAACAAGGGAGAGGGGGAAAAGTGTATGTCACATAACCAATTGGTGGAAGGGATTTCCGTTCCTCTCTCTCTCTCTCTCTCTCTCTCTCTCTCTCTCTCTCTCTCTCT